ATATCTTGAAAATAAGTGTTACTAGTATTTAAATTTCTACGTTGAAACAAATGAAGTTTTAATACTCCGTACGTATATGAAATCCAAAATTGAAGTATTTTGTAGCCACTGGCCACCGACTGTTCCATTGAGGAATGTTTTTATGTCTACATTTCCACAAAACAACGGTCTTTTATGCGATTTTACCAAATCAAATGTCTCTATCCTCCGATGGAATCTACAGCAACATGTACATGGGCGGCGGCCAATGGCGCCAACCCCATACACAGTATCCATCAATCACCTACAATACAATGATGAATGATGGCGCCAAACCAGGGGCGTAGCTCACCCGGTAAGTAGGCAGTGCCACAAAGGAGAAATCTCGTGTTCAATTCAAAAAAAGACTTTGTATGAAGTTTCATTCTCTTTTCATTAATGTGAGATAAGCTCAATTTACATCCTTCCAGATAATTATCTGGTCGTTTCAGGGGCGTTCACGAGGACCTAGGAGGGCCCATGAACAAGTGCCTCACTTCCGCCCACAAAATTGAGTACTACCTCTTTCTCATTTTAGTGAGTCATCTTTGATTTTTTCAGTCAAGGATGGTAAACTTCGATCAATTTTAACTAAAATAATAATGCAAAATTTAATAATTTTATGATCGTCTTCTTAACAAAGAGACATTTTCAAGTTCGACATACTAATGGGAAGGAGGAAGTATTAGTACTTAATACTTCCTTCGTTAATTTTTAATCGCAACATTCTCATTTTCACATTTGTTAATGTATAATTTTGACTATCATTATATTTAACTCTCTATTAGTAACAAATAATTAAAAGTCATATTATAAATATTTATAAGGAGACAAATTCAACAATATTTAAAAAAACATACATTAATAAATACTCCGTAACATATAATCAAAGTATAACATGTGAATAGTGTGTAAAACTATCCATGTTGCAACAAAATTAAAAGGAAATGGACGTAATATAAAAAGTGTGCCCCCAGACAATAAAATACCAAGTACGAAGTATTAGATATGAAGACAATTCCGCCGAAGAGCATATGAATTTGAGAAATGGTGTCAAATAGAATCACAACTACTTTCAGTATATACAGATCTTGACTTTTTTTACTCTTAAATAGGACTAATTTTTTCATGTGTTCCAAATTTACCCCCTTCTGTTCGTTTCTTTCTAGACCGACGCCTTTCAGACCCTTCCTGTCCCAATTCTTTGTGAAAAACAAATGTCGAAAAATAGAGATCAAATCTTTGAAGAGAAGGTGAGTCGACGATGAAAGAGAATATGGGCAGCGAACTGTATCGCCGGCGAAGGTGTCGCCGATCAGATCTGTTTCTTTTTCTTCTCTTTTCTTTTCCGCCCCTCCTCTTTTCTTCTTTCCTTCCGTTCCTGACTCGCTGCTTGCTGGCCGCTGCTTATTTATCTCTTTCTTCAGATCCGATTTCTTCCGCCTCTTTACCGTTTTGCTTTTTCAATTCCTTCGTAAAGTTGGTTTCAAACTTTCAATCTTATTGTCTTATTCTATTTCCTATTTCAATTTGTACCGTAAGCTATGTAGCACCGATACCGGTACGCGGAAACGCGGAAACGGGTACGGGGATACGTCAAAACCAAAAAAAGTAGGATACGGATACGGGGCCATATTTATAAATATTAAAAGTTATGGGGGTGTATTTACAAATATTTAAAGTTATAGGGGTCTATTTATAAATATTAAAAATAGTTTTTTTTTGAATATATATATATATATTCAAAAAAATTCATCAAAACATTCCACCGGGAAGTGGCCCAAACGTCCATGTTCGGACGGTGCTCGGACGGGGAATGTTCGGACCTGAACATTCCTCATAGGAAAAAGATCAGGTCCGAACGTTCGGACAGGACTCTCCGTCCGAACATCCTTGTTTGGGGTCCTTCCCGGTGGAATTTATTGATGCAATTTTTTTAACATGTTCCTCATCAAGTCTAGTTTGTCCATACCAAATTTCAGTTCAAAATTTGATCGGGAAGGCATTCAAATCATTTTTTTGAAGTTGACTGCGTTTTTATATGTATATTTTGACGCAGTCAACTTCAAAAAATGATTTGAATGCCTTCCCGATCTAATTTTGAGCTGAAATTCGGTATGGACAAACTAGACTTGATGAGGAACATGCTCAAAAAAGTTCATCAAAAAATTCCACCGGGAAGTGGCTCAAACGTCCATGTTCGGACGGTGCTCGGACGGGGAATGTTCGGACCTGAACATTCCTCATAGGAAAAAGATCAGGTCCGAACGTTCAGACAGGACCCTCCGTCCGAACATCCTCGTTTGGGGTCCTTCCCGGTGGAATTTTTTGATGAAATTTTTTTTAGCATGTTCCTCATCAAGTCTAGTTTGTCCATACCAAATTTCAGTTCCAAAATCGATCGGGAAGGCATTCAAATCATTTTTTGAAGTTGACTGCGTTTTTATATGTATATTTTGACGCAGTCAACTTCAAAAAATGATTTGAATACCTTTCCGATCGAATTTTGAGCTGAAATTTGGTATGGACAAACTACACTTGATGAGGAACATGCTAAAAACATTTCATCAAAAAATTCCACCGGGAAGTGGCCCAAACGTCCACGTTCGGACGGTGCTCGGACAGGGAATGTTCAGGTCCGAACATTCCCTGTCCGAGCACCTCGAAATATATATATAGGGGTGAGATCACATACAAACTATTCCTCCCATGCTAACCTACAAACTGTCACAAACTGTGCATCTTCACATTAGTTGTAATGCATATTATAGTTCAAAGTGTTGCATATCGTTTCTATTGCATATTTAAGTTCAAAGTATTGCATATTATTTCTATTGCATATTGAAGTTCACAGCGTGCATTTTTACATTATTTGTACTGCATATTGAAGTTCAAAGTGTTGCATATTATTGAGTTTGTAGGTTAGTATTTTAAGCATGGTTTGTATTTGATCTCTTGTCTATATATATATATATATATATATATATATATAGAGAGCTCTTCTCATCAGGCCGGCCTGACGGGCTGCCCCGTCCGGCCGAGCCCGTTTGGGCACCTTCCCGTTGGAATTTTTTGATGAAATTTTTTGAGCATGTTCCTCATCAAGTCTAGTTTGTCCATACCAAATTTCAGCTCAAAATTCGATCGGGAAGGTCGTCAAATGATTTTTGCAAGTTAACTGGTCCGGAAAATACATATTCCGGACCAGTTAACTTGCAAAAATCATTTGACGACCTTCCCGATCGAATTTTGAGCTGAAATTTGGTATGGTCAAACTAGACTGGATGAGGAACATGCTCAAAAAATTTCATCAAAAAATTCCACCGGGAAGGTGCCCAAACGGGCTCGGCCGGACGGGGCAGCCCGTCAGGCCGGCCTGACATGAAGTTTTCTCTATATATATATATATATATATATATATATATACACACACACACACATAATATCCTATGATGTCTACTCATTCATTGCATTGAAGCATTTTCCTTTTTCAAGATACTTAGTAATAAATTCATAATATTTGTCATATACACTAGTGCATCTCGAAATATAAATGTAGTCAATAAGCCATTAATTTAAAATGAGAAATAAGTCTAACAACTACAATCTTGAAATTAAAAGTGCAAGTACCCAATTCGGAGTATGAGTTAATGACTTAATTCGGATATAGCCATATAGGCCCATTATTTGATTACCAAGTAAAATGTAGTTTTAGATTTTCATTTTTTTTAGAATTTTATTAAGTAAATTTTGAGATTTTTTTTTTTAAAAAGTTGATACGGGTATCCGTCAGGATACTCGGTATCCGTCAGGATACGAGTATCGGAAACTTTCAAAAAATTACAAAAAAAATGGAAACTTTTAAAAATTGCAGATACGGCCCGGGAACGTACGGTACGGCTATCCTAGAGTATCGGATACGGGAACGTATCGGATACGGGAACGTATCAGATACGCCGATACGCTACTCTAGGGAAGTATCCGTGCTTCATAGACCGTAAGTGTTTTTTGTTACATACGTTGAGTGCTATGTTTTGTTTTGTTTTATTTTGTTTTTGACAGAAGAAGAGTGCTATGTTTTGTTTAATTTTTATATTAATTGCTTCTTCATTGTTATTTTTTATTCCTTTTAGCCATTTACATTATTTTTGTATCATTTATATTATATTTTAACAGTCAAGGGAAAATAAACATAAAGTATAAAGTGATAAATGTGAATTGACTTTGTCTTGCAAACGTTGCACATGCTGAAAATAAAAATGTCATTAGTTTTAACAATGTCATTTTCATAATAATTGACATTCTTATGACATTGTCATTGGTATTCTTATGACATTATCATTGACATTCTTATGACATTATTATTGACATTTTTAAGACATTGTCATTGACATTGTCATCGTGATTAATTGATATTACAACATTTTTTCGACATTGTGATTTTTTTTATTAAATTAACATTGTCATAATAGATATTGACATTGTTACAATTACAATGTCATTTTATAGGATCGACATTGACATTGCCATTGTGACATTTTCTTAACCCGATGACATTTTTATACATTTTATGACATTTTTATACATTTATATGACATTCTTTTGACTTTTTTTTTATAAAATTAACATTGGCATAATAGCTATTGACATTATCATAATTACAATGTTATTTTATAGCGGCATTGACAATGACATTGTCATTGTGACATTTTCTTAACCCGATGACATTTGTATACATTTTTATGACATTGTCATTAGCATTGTCATTGTGTCAAAATATGTCGGGTCAATGTGAATTCATTTTGGTTCCACATTTTAAAATGTAAATCACAAATTCAACTCAAAATAGCACTTAGAAATTAGAATGGTTCCTCATATATAACTTCAGAACAAAAATGCATTTCTTCCAAGTTTGTGTTGAGATCTGATAGGATGTGTGTGGCCCTTCTAAATTTACCCATGCCACCGATCCAATAATATTCTCACAACTTGCAAATACACATAACAAATCAGTTGCCGATTACACATCACACAGTAACACCCCAATTCATCACTGAAACACACTTGCCGAAAAACACACGCAAAATATGAAATACGAAACAAAAAGTGATTTGAGTTTCGTAATTAATCAAAGAACTGAAAGAAGTGTTTATTTGGACTGATCTGACTTCACATGAAGAGAGGTATTGACAAGTATTAAAGGGTCTATTTTACCATTAAGTTTTAATAATATCATCCAATGAGGCCGTTCATGAAAAAATCTTTCACCATCCCCAATCACCTTCATCCTCTTCATAAAAAATTCACCGATTTCCAAGCGTACAGGGAACGCAATAGGCAGGACTGGCCAAATCCGGACCGGAAATCAAGTTCGACCTGGAAATCTTATCTATCTGAAGGCCGGCGAAGAAGTGAGAGGAAACCCTTCAGTCGCTCCGCAGAAATCTCTTGTGACGGGAAACGTTGCCGGAAGGGGAGACGACTCACTGTTACTCCGCCAAAATCCATGCCTGCTGCGTCAGTAAACTTGGCCGAGAGGAGAAGCGAGAAACCATTGCCTCAATCACAGGACCACAAGCGCAGATAGCTTGACCGGTAGGCCGGTAGAGGCAGTTCCGCTAGCTAATGATATGAGGGTATTTTTGTCTGTAGCGCAAAAATTACTCCTCTACACGAGTTAAAAAACTTGAGGTCTTATTTAAGTTCCATTGCCATGATTTGGTCCTATTTATGTCTTTATCCCTATGAATTTTAGTAAGAAATGTAAATGATCAGTGAGTTGTCATGGAGCGATTCCTTACATTTAGACATATTGTTGATATGATCACCATACTTTCTTTAAAATGTGACATTGCTGATTTTTTTTGCCATGTATGAATAATGTTTGTCCAAAGTTAAAAGGTATGGCAAGGCTTCTAATCTGTGTGATGAAGTCAATGGATGGAAGAGCGAGAGACACTTTGTTTTTTTGTACTACAATATGATCAAAGTTAGAGATATATAATCATATCATTAAATAAAGTTTTATTGAATGATAGAATAACAAAGTTGATTGTACGATATTTTTAAGACAATAGTATACTAGTACCGGGTCCGGTCGTAAGAAAATGGAAACTCTGTGCAACAACAAAATTTGAGCTTTTTTTTCAAGTTCCAACACAAATAAATTGTGTTAAAATACAAGTTACTCATGAACATAATGATAAATATAAAGGTAGTCATTAATCAAATACATTTTACTAGTATTTAAAAGGGAAAAGTACGGAAAAGGTGTTTGTGATTGGGCCCATTTTCAGATAGGGTCATGTGTTTTAGTCTTTATCAAAGTGGTTCATATGTTTGAATTCCGTTATCACAAGAGAGTCACACCGTTAAAAACGTCTGAAAAAGACTGTTAGTAAATCCGATTTTCAAAAGTGCCCGGAAAATTAAAAGAAAAATACCGGAAGGTGCGCCTCAATAAAACGACCGCTAGGCCATCTTTCTTTTTTGTTTTCAGCCACACTTATCACCGGAAAGTCCACCGGAAAAATGATATTAGTGAAATCATTTTTAAAAAATAATTCAAACAGATCTGAAAAATCTAAAAGCGAAGCTGGTTTCGATGTCATCTTGATGAGGCGCACTTTTCGGTATTTTTCTTTTAATTTTCTGGACACTTTTGAAAATCGAAGTTACTTTTAACGGTCTTCTTCAGATGTTTTTAACGGCGTGACCCTCTTGTGATAACGGAATTCAAACACATGAACCACTTTGATAAAGGAATAAACAAATGACCCTATCTGAAAACCGGTCCAACCACAAGTACCTTTTCCGTACTTTTCCCTATTTAAAAAGATTACATTTTTCGAACATATTTAGATGTAAAGTCATATACCACACTTGCAATGTCAATCTCTTGGAGTGTTTCACATTCTATTGATATCATCGTCAATCAATTGAGTCTCTCTCGTAACATAGTTGATTGCAAGTAGAACGTAACTTCAACAACTTCATCTTTGAAAAACTTCGTTCTGCCGAGGTGACGATAATTAGAATTGTTAGCAACACTCTAAATGCAATAAAAAGCATTTGGAAAACAATTCAAAATTCTTGTCCCCCATCTTTTCTTTTGGCAAAATCTCTCCAAGGAACTTCAGCGCAATATACAAATCGTTTCCATCAATGTCGTCGTTGCATTGCTCATCCCTCTGCAGAACTGTTTGTAAATGTGTGCAACATGATTCCAAATCTAAATCAGCCAGAGATTTTAACTTCTCAGAACTGAACAAGAACCTAAAAAAAATTCATACACTTTGTATTGCTCAAATCTCTGTGTCAATGAGTCAATAGACTGATCAACTATGTAGATAAAGTATTCCACCATCAACAACACTTCTAGTGTTGACGTGGATGATGAAGATTCACCAACACTCTCATGATTCTCATCAAATCGTTTTTTCTACGAATTACACGCTTATGATGAAACACCGGTTCAACTTCCAGTTCACTGGCTGTTTCTTTAGCCACATGCATAGCACTAGAAAACCCACTTTCTCTATACTTCTTAAAAAAGATATTAAACCGTTTGACTTCAACAATAGTAACATCAAGAAGCATATCTTTTGCTTGTAGAATTTTGCTCACCAAATTAACAGCATAGAATATTTCACTCCAAATAACCGTAGCAAACAAAACTTCAAAATTACAAAGATCATATGTAGGTAAGGATCTAGCTTAAGTTTGTATTTTGGAATCATTGCATGTCTCGGCCAATTCAAGAAAGGCTTCTCAAATGTCACCGATTTGAAACCTTATTCCTTTGATACTTTCCACATGACAAGCAATCACTCTAAACCTTATTCGACAAGCAAGGCTTCTCAAATGTCATGGTTGCAATCACCCTAAGCAACAGTTTCTCCGAAATTCCTTTTCTTAGAAAGTACATCATGAGCTACTTTATCAATTGTCTCATTTTGTTTAACCGAATTCTCAAATCTACCCAAGTTCTCATGCTACCCATATGCTCCACACGTGTTTCGTGTTCTCTTATTGTAGTACTAAGATGTGCCCAACCATCAAAACCCGTGTTGGCTAAAGAACCTTTGCCCACACCTTTTCTAAAAATCTTACAATCGAAGCATTATTAACCCAATGTTTATCATATTTCTCTCCATTAGGCAACCTTTTGGTGTAAAATGTCGCTGAGAATATTCTATAGAATTTATCTTTAGCCCCTCTGACAAAAGTTAAATCTCTCTTAGGATCATTCTCTACCAAATATCTATCAAATTTGAATCAAAAGCATCCCAATTTTTGGATCATTTATGTGAAACAAAGCATAATTATTTGGTCTATCATCTAAAACATTGATTCTGTTGTCCTCTTTATCAGGATTTTCAGCCATGTCGTTACCACAATGATATGGTATTTTAACATTATTTTTAACATCTACATGGTAGTGTTCACCCTCTTGAACATCTCCAACTTCTTTAATAATGAACTTATCAAGAGTTTCTAATTTAGACAAGGTTAACTTGTGAAGTCTTCTTTTCTTTTGACGTTTCTCATGACCGAATGGATATTTATTTTGAAACATAATTACTACCAATGATTGAAATTCTGCTCTACCCCTGTACGTGTTTATAAATTTTAAATTAAAATTCAAATTAAATTTAGGGTGAAATATTATATAATTATAATTTATGAACCTCAAGTTACCTAATAATATTTTTATACCAATTTCTTAAATCCTAATTGTTAAACACATTTATGATCAATCCAATTAATCATTTACTTTAACTGTAAAAAAATAAACAAATAACAACAATGCAACAATTTAACAAACATGAAATCATAATTCCTAATTCGCAATTGAACAAATCTGATAATCATAGTCTCATAGATGTGCGCGCCTGGGCTACTGACTTGCTTACTTACTGAATACTAATACCTGAGTACTATGCAGTTGCGGACTTGCGGTCGTGGAGCGGTGGTCGGTGGACTGATTGGACTCGTGGAGGTGGAGCGCGGTGGGCTAGTGGCGAGCTGGCGCTAGCGCTGGGTGGCGGCAGTCCTCGGGCGAGTCGCTGCCTTCGACATTCGTCCTCATTTGTGGAATCGTGGCTTGACTGGCTTTGTCGTTCCAAGTCGAGCGGACAGGGTGTGAGAGCGGACTAGCGAAGGTTTGAAGTTGCAAAGAGCTTCTGGACTGGAGTACTACAACTAGTTTTTTTTTTTTTGCACTCCAAAATTTTGGGCCCCATGTGGTTGGGCTAGGTACCCCTAACCTGGACCGGCCCTGACTAGTACCAATAATTTTTGTAACACAATGGGTAGCATTCGACATGATCCTAGTTTAGAATTAAATCTTGACCATTTTATAGTATGAAAAATAACAAGAATTTCAATGCAAAATCAGAAACAGTGCAAGGATATATGATTCATTTCTAATCCAAATTATGTCTTTCTTTTGGAAAGTCAAATATTATTGTTTAGAATGGTTATATTGAGTTGAAAACCAGGCCTATAATTCATAGATGTTCATCTCTTGAAATCAACATTTAATCCATTTCCGGTTAAAAATAATGAATTGAGCGGACTAAACAGAATAGATCATTGATGCACCCGACCGACCTAACCCATTATCATCCATGCGGTTGTGCCTCTGACGTGCACTTTGTCGTGTATGCACTCAAAATAATAATCAATACAACAAATATACGTAGTATATTGAAGTAAGGTTCGTATCCACAGGGAAAGAAATACTTCTCTTTTTATAAAACTAGAAATAAGTAACAAGGGTTTTTTTAGATTGTTTGGTGAACTTAAATTATATTTGAACACTAAGATGAACGACTTATGTGGTTTACTTAATAGAGATGAAGACTTGGCTTTGCTTTTATCCACTTAATGAAATGTTCGTCGATCCCGGTTATATCCTTAACTATCTTCCTCTCGAATACTCAATCGAGGAGTATATCCAGTTCATCGAGGGTAATTATTAATAACGAGACAAGTTCATTAATAAAACTTACTACCGAGTTAACATAGATCGAACACGCGCCGTATATTAACCCGATAGTAGCAATAAAATTAAGATGAAAACGATTGAGATTGATAACCTCAACACAAGCGGTTTATTGGTTTAATCAATATAATTAATTCCCCTTAGATTATTAACCATGGGACGCATGCATTAACAACCCAAGTTTACTACCGTGAAAGGACCGATTTAATAACAAGCGTATTAATCGACCGATTCTAGTAATAATTAATATATGAAACAAAACTAGTTGATCCTTTAAGTAATGCTCAAAATATTAATATGAAATAGGAATAGGAATTAATTAATATTCAATGAAGAAGATTAAAGAAAATAACTCACAACTTACAATTCATTAAGCTTCAAAGTAGCAAAACCAAGATAGAAGAGTTTAGCTCCTCATTTGGAGACTAAACATGATGAAAATATAAAGAAAGAACTTATCTAGACTGAGCTTAGAAGTGTATAGGAATTGGTGATCTATTGTGAAGGAAAGGGGGCGACCAGATATGTTAATAGGCGTTTTGGGACTGCAGCTCGTGTACCCGATCGGGTTAATAGGGTACCCGACCGGGTATTTCCAGAACTGTGAACTCGAGCTATACTTGATCGATTTCAGGGTTAAATTTATAGGCATACCCGATTGGGTGTGTCGGTGTACCCGATCGGGTATGACAACTGATCGTGGCCAAATCTTCCCCTGCATGTCCCTTTGTTTTTTGGATTGATCTGATTGAAAATCAAGTTGGTACCCGATCGGGTAAAGGGTATACCCGACCGGGTACAGGTCAAAATCAGGAACTTTCCTTCATTTTT